GCCACCGTAATGATTACAAAAGCTGACGTTTCGAGCGTTAGCCCTTCGTCAGAGCGAATAGAGGAATTGTGGGTTGTGTGCTTTTAAAGGCAGAAAATGGAGCTACGTTATTGGTGGGAGCATGGCAACGAGAAAAACATGAATAAATTAGTGGAATGAAAAGCGTTCGTTGATCCCTGTGGGATTTAGACTAACGGTATTTACATTAGTTGTATTATACCAGTTATAAATATATATATAAATATATATTAATTGCACCATATGATTGTAAATAGTCAATTCAAATTTAACTTACCCATTGTAAACGCATCGAGGCGTGCTAGATGCGTGCTAAGAACGGTTATTCAATTCAATTCAATTCAATTCAATTGAAATTCAATTGTGCAAATTCAATTGACCAAAAAGGAAAAAATGACTATGGTACACGGTATCAACATTGAGTGAAGACGTTTTGAAGATAGAAACTGGGCTGCCGACAAAGGAAGTGTTTAATATTGTTGTCAATTATGCAGACAGGTTTGAACAATCCATCAATTACTTTGCTGGCTGGAGAGTGCAATCAGTCAGCTTTGAAGAGCAAATATTTATAACATTAATGAAAGTCAGACAGAATGACACAAATCTTCACCTTGCACAGTTATTCAGTTGCAGTGTATCTACAATAGCAAATATTGTAACAACTTTCATTCATGTCTTGCACTTTTATTTACTGACCTCATGACATCAATCCCATCTAGGTATAAGAACAAGCTGTCTCCCCCATCATCTTTTGGTCAGTTTGGTTCTTGTAGAGTAGTTATCCTGGTTGTCTCACATCATAATATGATATTACATTGTGTCGTCAGCGGTGAGCGTTTGACAAGATGGACGTTTTTTTTTTTAGCTCTGTCATCTTTGCACAGAAAAACCTTTAGCCTGCACGCAATTTTTATTTTAACCCTTTCGGTATAGTTTACTCCAAGTATGGCTGCCAAACTACGTAAAGAAAATCAAGAGCTAAAGCAAGAGATTCAAACATTTTCAGCGGAGTTGGAGAGTTTAAAAAGTCTGATCACGCATCAGCGAGCTGCAGAATCTCATGAAATCCAAGGCACTTCTCTCGATGCAGAGACAAAGTCGTACCTAGAATTTTATAGTAAAGAGTATGACGACCTTGGCAAGTTCCGAAGCCAAGCCCAAAGTGAGATTCGGCGTCTAAGTACTGGAATAACCGAGCTAAGCTCTAAAGTGGACACCGTCGGTAAAGCCGTGGACGAGCTTCAGGATTATAGCTACCAATTCAACGTGAAAATTATTAATGTCCCAGAAATTAAAAAGCAGGAAACGGCGACGGAAACGAGTGATCATTGTGTTGCTCTTTTTAATGGCATGGGAGCAGTGGTATCGCTGCAGGACCTGGATGTGGCTCACTGAGTACCCCGGAGAGATCAAGATGGACCAAAACCCATAATTTGTAAGTTTATTAGACGCCTGGCAAAATTTGAGGTGACGAATCGCCGACGAGACGCATGTAAAGTTGACCCTAGCGGGCTTGGCTTCTCTGAGGATGTCTCCCTGGATGCTGTACGAATTTTTGATCACCTGAGCCCCAGACCTCAGAAAGTACTCTTTGAGGCCAAGAAGTTCAAGGATCGAAACAATTATCAGTATTGCTGAGCGAAGGACTCTGCTGTTTATCTGAGGAGAAATAGCGAGTTACGGCCGATCAAGGTCAAAGACCTTGGTGAACTCCAAAGACTAGCAGGAGACTTCTATGCTGCACAAAAAACTGCCAGCTGAGTTACTTTTTTATTCTTTCATTTTGCTTCCTCTTTTTCTTTTTTTTATTTCATTTCTTCATAATGAAGCGTGATAATAGCTCTAACATATCCAAGTCACTTTTGCGCGAATTACCTTATTATGGTGTAAACCTTCTTTCTGCTCATGGTCAATTTAACAATACTCTAGGCGACTATCTGCCCACCAAGAAATATCTTGAAAACCTGACTAGTGTTCATGATCTAGACTTGTTTACGTTAAACACAAATTCAGATATTAACCCTGACATAAACCTCTCCGATCAAAGGATATACAGTCGTTATTATTCCCCTCATAGCTTTAATAAATTGAAATCATCATATTTTAATTCCGACCGAAATTCAGCCTTCTCGCTTCATCACAATAATATTAGAAGTTTAAAGCGTAATCTTGACGATTTTCAGACCCATGTACTTCATGAGCTCGGTTACAGATTTAGTGTTATGGGTATGACTGAAACAAGAATTTCAAAGGCCAATTCCCTTGACTACAATGCTAGTATCCCGAGATATAAATCTGAATACTGCCCAACACCTTTAGCTGCTGGAGGCGTTGGAATGTATATTGATGAAGATCTTAATTGTACAGTAATAGAAAAGGCATCCGAAGACGCTTCCCAGGCTTTGTGGATTGAAATTCAGTCCCCTAAACTAGCGAACGTAATCTGTGGGGTTGTTCATCGACAACATAACTCTCGTGAACGCTTCTTAGAGTACTTTGACCAAACTTTGGAAAAGCTTAGCGCTTCTGGTAATCTATTTATATTTTGGGCGATTTCAATAGAAATCTCCTCAGAGCTGAGTCTTGTAAGTACTCCCACAATTTTCTGCTTTCCTTGCAAAGCTATTCTTTTATCCCTACCACCGATAAACCTACGAGAGTGTATCGTAGTTCTGCTACTTTAATTGACAACACCCTGGTAAACAATTTTAAAGGAACCGTGTCTAGTGGCAACGTCGTTTCTGACGTCAGCGATCACTTTACGCAATTTTGCATTTTTTATTCCTGTAAGAAGAGAACCTTTCCTCTCAGACAAAAAATTAGAGATTATTCTCGCTTTTCCGAAAGCACACTTCATTTAGAATTATCTCAGATTGAGTGGGACTCTATCATCACTGATAATCAAAATGACATTGGTCGTACGTTCTCAATCTTTTTCAATACTTTAACAAACTTGTTAATAAGCATGCTCCTCTTAAACCGGTATCT